ACTCCCTAGAATGCTTATTTTCAATTTACAGAAGGTTATATCTGTATATAAGGGGAAAAAGATAGTTCCAACTTGGTATTATCTGAATTTGCTTTCTCCAAACAACGTTTGAGGGAACAGAATCAAGGAAGAAAATAAATAATGAAAAACAAAGAAAAGAAATTATAGAGCCACGCAGACATACCCACAAGGGAATTATAGCCGGATAGTTAAAGGGACATATTCCAGCACAGACACCAAGCGGTTCTCTAATGCTGTATGTATCAATTCCATTAGATGCATTAGGAACGAATTCTCCCACTTGTAGAGTTGCCATTCCACAAGCATGTTCAACCACCTCTGCAAAGAAAGTGGTAACGCAAGAAAACAGTTTCTTTTTTAGGTGAGACAACATTGTTATCAAAAACTAAATAATGGAAGACATTTTAGAAAGACACTCATGAACATTACCTAAACCACGCAGAACATCAGCATGAGCGCTCTTTAATGTCTTTCCCTGTTCTACGATAATATTCATAGCTAGCTTATCCTGGGGAAGGAGAAGAAGAAAATGGGTAGAAGGAGACTGAGCATACATTAGAACTAGAAGGAGACCGAGCATACATTAAACTAACTCATTAGAAATACATATTTAAAGAAAATGACTTCATGTGCTTACAATGTCTCTGTGGATAAGCTCCAAGAGCTTGAACATAATGTGCTGTCGGGTGGTTATAGGAGTATTCTTCCATGAAGGAAAAGCTTGCTTTGCTGCATTAACTGCATCTTTGAACTCTTCATACAAGGACACAGGAACTTGAGAGACAACCTCTTGTGTAGCCTAATTAAGGAGTAAATTATAACAAAAGAATTTCAGTTATAACTATCTTTTTAGAACATAAAAGTTCAACCTCCACATTCTTTATGCGCTTACAGGATTTATTGTGTCAATGGTTGCAGACCCTTGTGAATCAACAAATTTTCCCCCAATGAAATTAGGAACCTTCAGCTACATTGAATTTAAAAATTCAATAGTAATCTCCAATCAATCACCAAATAACATATTCATGAGCTTTCACTCAAGCAAGTGACCACACAATCATACAGTAAGAGCGAGGGAATAAAACCAGACAAATCTCAATCTGGTCCTGTATTACATTAAAGCTTACCTTCTGGTTGTTTTGATCCAGTGACTCCCTGCTTGAACTAATGGTTACAGGAGAAGATCTGTTAGGTCTCCATGATTTGAAACATTTTTCTGCAAGACAACAAATTGCCTACTTTCTAATGAATATAAAACATACACACATAAGTACATATATATATGGTGGAGAGGAACCAGAGTTGGTAGAAGTGTATATCTGGTTACAATTAAGTACAAGAGAGTCAAGGAAACCAAAAGAAACAAAATCTTGACATCAAGACAAACAGAGTTTTTAAAAAATCATATTTAGTTTTAAATCCTGCCACTCATCCTTTACGCAATATCTAATATT